CGAAGTGGCACATTGTTGATTATTCTAATAGCTTTGTTTTGTAGTCTCACCAATTGTGACAATGGAGCCTCGTAATTATTACCCCACAGTACGCAACCAGAAGTTAAATAGGGATATATACGTGCATAATAAATACTTGTTAGGGATTGGGATGTCACATAGGGTTTTAGTTTTGCAATAACATTTACACTTTTGCTAATTTTATTACTTATATAATCGATATGGTCGTGCCATATATTCCAACTCTACAGCTTTTTGAATGAAACAAACAAACAAATAAACAAGCAGATGTGTCTTGGCTTTCCGGGCTCCGTGCTTCGTTCAGATCAAGGGAATTATCAGTGGTCTGAGGTATTTGGAAAACTCAGTTGAGCATCGCGCTCTAACTCCCTTTCGCGACCAAAAAGTCAGGACAGGAAAAAAACGAAGTATCAGACTAGGAATGATTCACAAGTGAGTGCCAGTTTCCATTGTCAAAACAAAACATAACAAAGCAAACAAATAAACATACTAACAAAATAAAGGATATTTTTAAATATTTTTAATTACTGAGAAACTTCTGAATCATGAAAACGCCGAAGTTGAGGTCAGCTATCGATGCCATCTATCGACAGTTAATTGGCACTTCTGTAACCAATTAAATTGAGTGGGTTTACCTGATAGACAGAAGGGAAGCTAATCAGATTTTCAGTTTTGCCAAAACAGCTTAGCATCAATTCTTGGCCATCAATTACTTAATTTAAAGAAGTTAATGACTTCAAAGTTAAAGAAGTTTAGTCCAATTCGAGAGAGCTTATGAGATCTCGGAATTGCAGCAACTTTCGAATTCTGAGACCACTGGATCATTTCAAAAGCTGGACATAAAAATACTTAAAATACACACGCTTTCTGTATAAAATATCCAGACCAACAGGAGAATCTTTGTTAACAATATTTGCTTCATTAGCATAAGCGATACAGTTTCTGATGGAGCTACTAAAACATTTGTTCCCAATATTGAAAGGGCACAGCACGATCAACTGTCCTAAGGAATTTGAGCTTGATGTATTGAATACTTTTTGAGCGATACGGGCTTAAAAACTCAAAATTTTACAAAGAATGTATGAGCTCATTAAGGCTTTTGCCACCCAGAGATTTTTCAGTTTTTGAAAGCCAGTTCTCCTAGAATATTAAACCCAAAGAGCCAAAAACTCACTGATTACTAAGTCTTACTAGCTCTTTAAATCTTTTTATTCAATTGGTGTCTAGCGTAATGCCTTCTCTGCGCAAAATCGTATATTAACGAGAAAAAATGTAACCAATGATTTCAGCAAAGATTCTCCTATACACGCAGTTTCACTATTGACACTACTAAGCACTTAATGACTGGCCTCAAGGGAAACAGTGAGTTTTGTTTCCCCGAGACCCTCAATGTTTCCCAAGGCGAAGCCGAGGGGAACATTGAGGTCAAACGGGAAACAAAACTCACTGTTTCCCGCGGGACCAGTCATTAAGTGTTTTGTTAAACCTTCCAACTCAAAAATAGAAAAAACTGCGAAGAAATCGTTTGCTTGAAGCCAGCTGGCTCACAAATTTGCCGCGGTTTCAAGGAGCACGACCTGATCACGTGCGAGGCGAAAGTTCATGCTGTTGTTTCCCTAGGGAGTTAGTGAGTTTTGTTCGCCTCAGGGAGTTAGTGTGTTTTGACCCACGACACGTGACACGTTCTCCTCCAATAGGAAAACGTATTTGAGTTGGGAGGTATAGCAAAATTGATTAACCTCGCACAACTTTCACTGCAAACTTTAAATATGGTAAAAGGTAATTTTGTGCTTAAAAAGATCCTTTGTGAGGTACTTGAACTTCAAATGAGAGCTTTTTGTAAAACTTGCTTGTAAAATTCATGCCTCCAGTTTATTAAGGCTCTTCGGCAATGTCTAAAGATTTGTTGAACTAAATATATTTAGTTAGTGTGAATGCGGGACTTGTTGCAGCTTACTTCAGCAAGCTAACAAATGAGTGTGTCCTAAATAAATTCATCTAACACAGACGTGGGATTTTTCTTCCCTTGTATAGTTTCTTTCTCTTTCGTCTTATCCAGCTGTTTGCCTTCCTTTTGAGAATTACGTTGTTTCCACTTGTTCACTCTTCTGCCGCTATTCTCAATTTCTGCGCTGCGCCTTGAGGGATCACTCAACAAAAATTCGTCGAAAATTGAAACCGAAAGCTCAGAAGTGCTTTCAAGACAACACCCTTGAGTTTCAGCGACAGAGTCTTCGTTAGCTTTCGATGTTTTTGACTTAGTTTTAACATCGTTTTGTTCCAATTGATTTGTTTGATGGAAGTGACTGGTTCCTGCCTCTTCTAACCCGCAGTTTCTTTTAACTTCAGAATTAACTTTCTCTTCTTTCATTGCAGAATCATCTTCAAAACTCTCGCGTTGAACCTTGTGCTTGCCTTCCAAAGCGGTCGCCCTACAACGGGGCTTTTTACTTCGAGAATTTCTTTCGCTAACAAGGTCCTTCATTTCATGTCTCTCGAGACTTTGCTCACAACACTGATCTCTACCATACGACTTTGTCTTTGATTTGCGCTTCGGCATATTTCTTTTGGATTTCTTAGCTGTTTCGGAGCTGTAGTCTCTTCGCTTTCTCTCCAAAGAAGTCTTTTCATTTCCAACAACCTGTTTCTCGTTCATGTTTTCGCCTGAAGGCTTGTCGGAAAAACTGGACAAGCCGGACAAAACCGGATTTTTGTCGACGTAATAACGCTTTAACATTTCCCGCCTATCGCTTTCGTTGCCGTTGACGACAGCTTTAGCAAGATCTATTTCCGAGCTAAATCCGAGCGCATCCGACATCTCCCGAAAATGTTGTCGACGGATTCCTCGAGGAGTTGAACCAATGAATATGGCGCTGTTGCCAAGTCTCTCCACCGTGACGCCATTACTGGTTTTAGCCGAGCTGAAAAGGAACCGAGAAACATGAAGACACGAAGAAAAAAAGGTATTTAGTTAATAATTGTGAAGGAAATCGGAGTGAGAAAAGACATACCGTAAAATGCCGGTGATACAACTTCAGAGGGAGTTTTAGATGGACTTACAACCAGGCAACGTATACCTTGGCCGAGAGGGGTTATATAAGCAGCTGGGAAGAAGTTCGTTATCAATTTGATGAGGGATATTTTGTAAGAAAAAAAATCTTGATTAAATTTTTTTTATCTTCACTTTACTTGCAAATTTTGTATATTGCATATTTTTGTTTATAGTAGGATGTTCTGCGACAATATGGAAAAGTTGGATGGGAGAGAGCTTATGTCCTTGAGTGACATAAGAAAAAGTTCGTACCTGCGTAGTGGCGGCTTATCAACACGACTGCTACCAGCTTCCGGTTGATCTGTGCGTCGAGTGACTTCCGGTTTCTTATCCTGAGCACTTTCGCCAAGGTCATCACTTTCATCGCTTGTCTGCAAAGAATGTATAACAAGAAAACAGTGAAATACAGGTGCGAGTTGGAAAGAAAAGACAACGAAACAGCCTGCTAGACGTGAAGGAGGTAATAGGCAATAGAAGGGGGTAATAGGAAGAACTCCAAACAAAATTGTGAAATCAGTGGCGAACGCACGAAGCCATGTAACCGGAGCCAAGCGCGGGAAAACATGTAACCAGTGCCAACCACGGGAAAACCTGTAACCAGTGCCAAGCACGGGAAAACATGTAACCAGCGCCAAGCGCGGGAAAACATGTAACCAGTGCCAAGCGCGGGAACACATGTAACCAGTGCCAAGTGTGGGAAATCCTGTAACCAGTGCCAAGCACGGGAAAACATGTAACCAGTGCCAAGCGCGGGAAATCCTGTAACCAAAGCCAAGCGCGGGAAAACCTGAAACCGCAGCCAAGCGCGAGAAATTCTGTAACTGGAGCCAACCGCGGTAAATCATGTGACCGGAGCCGAGCGCGGGAAATCATGTGACCGGTGCGAAGCACAGGAAAACATGTAACTGGAGTGAAGGCACGGTTTGCTTTGCTTTTTGCCCCGACTGTTTTCTGATTACTCTCAGAAAGTAGGTGTTTTTTTTTCCTAATCAACTGGAAAGCTCGCAAAGGTTAAACTAACGCAAACGTACAACCAGTTCTAAATCGTTAACAAAACGTAGAATACCTCCAGAGCGGGAAAACAGTTCGCAGGCTGCTGTGAAAATTGTCTGAGCTCAAACACATCTTGCAGCGCCTGTTTAGACATGTGATTCTCCGCCTCGCTTGGTCCAACGATATGTCGATTGGCATGCGTGTAATGAACTCCGCAAGATTCTGCAAAAGAAAAGAGAAAATATGATTACGAAGCGCTTAAAACAACAACAACAAATATACCCGGTAAGACAATCACCGATAGTTCCTCTCTGCCTACCCAGGAATTTAAATAGTACTGGAGATCTGTTACGGAAACCTGAAAAAAAGCCGGGCTAACCTGTGATGTACTAAAATCCTATCTCGCCAGGGTGGGAGGGCGTATGTTATGGAAATCGTAGAGAGTATCGGCCTACTGAGCCACCTAGGTTTGAAGAGACTTTCACTTGACCTACACGTTGGTAGATAGAAAAGATTTGTTTCTATCGGGCCAAGACGTTCCACACTGCGGTTGAGGCCATGTTTGACACCACTTGGTGACAGTGGGAAAGTAAAGTATGTATTCGCATGGACTAGCATCCTGGATGGGTTTAGACATATGATTCTCATGTGAGACAAGTGAGACGTGGATTGCTAGTCCATCGCAGGGTTACCCGCCAGCATTAAATTTGCCGGTACCCACTTATACACTTGGGTGTTGAGAGGCACTGTGAGAGTGTCCGGATCTGGAGTCCAGCACACAAGCCATGACGCCACCGCGCCTCCCATACCACCTGGTGACCGTGCTGGAAATTAATTATCGGCGATCATTTAATGAACGACTCACCGAAGATTTCTTCAACCGTCGTTTCTTTTCTTGATCGTTTCGCTGCTGTTACAGATTTACTCTTCACGTCGATGTCTTGAGTTTTCTTTCCAGGAAATCTATGAAGATAGAATAGCAAGGTAATCACAGCCATACACATGTTGACCTCGCAATCCAGGAGCCCGTTTTTCGAAGGTCCCGAAAAGTTTTCGCACCCGGAAAGCCATAGCAAAATCTCGAACCTTATGATTACAGAGCTGTTTTATTCACATATTCTTAATATGAACAGAGGTTCCCTTCATACAAGAAGTTTCAGGCGTATCCGTTTTTAGATACAGATGAACTAACAATGGCTTTATGGGCCCGAAAGGTTTCCGGGGCTTTCGAGAAACGGGCTCCAGGGCCAAGAAAAATTGAAATCTCCAACTCTATAGGTTCTAGACCCGAGTAAACGCGAAGGAACAAAAGGGTAATTGCTTCACTCCACTTAAAACTTAGTACCCCAGGTTCTTACATCACAATGCCAAGCAAAATATATTTTTTCGGCCATCCCAAACGATCAATAATTACTACCTTCGAAAACGGCGTTGTCCTGTTTTGAAGGCGGCCGCTCTTGCCTCTGAAAATGGAATGGTCACAGGCTTCTTTCTTTTTCTGAAGACTGGCTGCGATTGTTTTCGTCTAGAGAACAAACCCTCGTCGGAGTCGTCTTCACTTGACGATGACTTCTCAGATGAATTACTCAAGTCAAAACTTTGATCTTCCTTTTCACTGGATGCACTTTGGCCATCAGAATCTTCAACGTAAACCTTTCTCGCTATTCTCGACTTAACTGCACCATTTAAACTCGACGTAGGAGGGATCACATCGCAGCTTTCTTCCGAGAAAGATCCCGAACTGCTCATGAACGAAGCACTTGGTTTTTCCTTGAGTCTTGTAAAGTTATTCGTGAGCTTGTTAGAGTCGCGTTCTTCTTCGTCCGAGTTGGGTGATAATTTAAAAGACACGCACTTTCTCGCAACAGATGTCATCGGCGAATCCATGCATTCGGCATCTACAGAGAAGAATTTGATGCTAGATATTTCCTTTTCAATAGAATCGCCGTCATCACTTAAACACAACTCACTGTTGCCAAGCTCATATAAAATATTGTCGTCGTCGTCATTGGCTCCTTTGCTCTCCATCTCCTCGCGCGCATCTTTGTTGCTATCTGTCCTTTCTCTAGGAGAGCTGGTGTGATTTGCAATCTGTTTCCTCTCAGGTGATTCATCTTTCAAATCCAGCTCGTAAGTCTGCGTCTTTTGCGAACCTGATGTACCTTGAGTTTGTTTCCTTGGTTCATCATCGTCGATCAACTGTGATGCAATTTCTTCAAGGTTATACGGGTCTTCCTCTAAGTTTGAATTCACGGTGCCTTCGCTCACCTAAAAAAGGAATCATTGTTTACATTCACAAATCGATTTTCTTGAAAATATGATCCAAGTGTTATCATTTAGAGCCACAGACTACAAAGTCTACGGGACATGGTAAGTATACCTTTGGTGAAATATTAAGCGTAGCCATTACCGTACAGATAGCTGATAACAAGTCTGCCATTCGTCAATTTCTCGATAGAACAATTAACCGTCAGCCCTGGCCAAACAGACTCCGCGCAAGTAACCGCAAGTTGAACTTGGGTAGAGACTGCGTTGGGTGGCCAAATGCAGTCTCTATTACACGCAAGTCACGAAAAAAAAAATCCATTTCGAGGCAGACATATCCTGTATTTCATTGGTTAATAGGTTGATTAAACAAGGAATGGACGCTACTCAACTTGCGTTGACTTGGGTTGGGTGGCCAAACGGTGAAAAACTTGCGTCGACTTGCGTGCATGATCCCGACCAAACGAGTGCAAGTCGTCTCAAGTCAATGCAAGTGCACGCAAGGTCTGGCAAAACCGGGTCGAAAGTAACCCAAGTTTTCAACTTAAAAATAAAAAGATAAATAAAATTTCATGTTTTCATAAACATGTATAGCATGTGCAACTAAGCTCTAAACTCTACTTTACCGTGCAATTTTCGCTCATATTTCAACTAAAATGCAACATAATACATGAGAGGAAAAAAAGGCTCGAGGACTACTACCATGCACTTGTGCATGAGTATTTTAGTTGGCGAGTTGCTGGTGTGGAAAACTAAGTAGTAAAATAATCGCAAAAAAGTATGGCATAGAAACTGTATAACTCGCTTTATTGTAAAATCACTCACCTTTTCCTGGTTCTCTAAGCCATTTTCCTCTTTCTTTTCGTGTACAATTTCATATTTTGCCACTTCATATCCAGCCTCTAGTTTCTCCGTTCTCTTCACGATGTCTTTGGACAGACTAGCACCTTCCGCGCGGTAAGAAAACAGATTCTCCAGGCCGAACAGTTCACCTTTCCTGTCTTTTTCCCCTTCAACACCAGTGAAATAGCGTCTCTCGTTTGTGCCCCCAACGGCAATGTTAGCCAGTTGCTGCGAGAAACAAGCAAATAAAAAAATCGTCGAACGCAACTTATGTTCCCTTTATGCTACAATTGGTTAACAACTCGCGCGCAAAAAAACTACACCATCAACAACGATTTGTACAGCTTTCGCCACCTTCCCGTGTTCCGCCGGCGCGGGGTACATGTTTTCTGAATGACATTGGTTACATTTTTTCCCGCGCTTGCTTAAGGTCACTTTTTCCCCCGAGATTTCATTTCGCGAACGGAAGAAATTTGGGCGCGCTAACACAACTAAGAGCGCCTGCATAGAACCCCGCGACTTTCCCGCCTTTCACCGGCACCGGTTACATGTTTTCCTGAGATTGACACTGGTTTCAAGTATTCCCGCGCATGCCGCTGATTGCATGTTTTCTCGCGCTTGTGAATGGTTACAAATCTCCCCCGCTTGCTACCGGAAGAGATTTGAGTGAGCATGAATAGTCACTAATTTTTGTGGCATTAGGCTTTCTCAGCAGACTTACCTGCTTGTAAACTTGTCTCAGGTACATCATTTCTTCAATTGTTCCTGAAGATATCAATCGATACACCCTTACATCTCGTCGCTGTCCAATTCGGTATGCTCTGGAAAAATGCAAAGAAGAGAGAAATGTCTGTTAAAAATTGTCTTTTGAATAAAGAAAAGTAATCTTGCAGGAAACAACTGGGCGGAGGAAAAAGAGAACCTATCGTGACAAGATAAATTTTCCGGTTAACATTTTGACCACTTTTTCAAAAGCCAACTTCAAAATCTCAGACGCTTAAAACCCTGACATAATTTTCTTCCCCTTCCCAGTGGCTACAAGCAAACTTTCAAGCAAATTGTACCGCAACAGCACAACAAATTTGTGACAAGTTGGCAAAAGTTGGACAAAGCACTGTCTACAGCAATAGCGCCTTATGTGCCATCCTAGCTGCGACTAGACTGTCATTCTAACATGATGTTTTAGAAGACACTCAGAATGTTCTATAAGAAATCCGTAGTCCTGATTGGTCCTTTCATTGTTGTCTCGCTATTCGCTGATATGACACGAACAAGTGCGCTTCTACTCTGAAAGGGCAAGTTATTCAGATGTTGAGTTTTACCTTAAAGTTGTGTTGTTTTTACTGTAAAAGCACTTGAAAAAACTTGCGCTTGTTTTCTGAGAGTGAACAACCAAATGGGCTGCGCCTTGTTCCTCTTAGTCTAAGGCTCCGTCCACACTACGCCGGAGGAATTTAAAAACGCATCAGTCACCGGTCATTTTGTATTTGTGTTTGTGGAAAACTCGGTCAGGGAAATCACGTGATTATCGTGACGTCATCATTTTCGAAAAGCTCCGTTTTCAAACTGTTTTCCGTCCACACGAAAACGCAAAGCCGGCGTTTTCAAATTACTCCGGTTTGAAGAGTGTTTTCGAAAAGCTCCGTTTTCGTGCTGGATTAGTGTGGACGGTAGGCCTAACCGTAGAAATAAAGCTGCGTTTTCAAATTTCTCCGGTTTGAAGAGCGTTTTCGTGCCGGATTAGTGTGGACGGTAGGCCTAACCGTAGAAATAAAGCTGCGTTTTCAAATTTCTCCAGTTTGAAGAGCGTTTTCGTGCCGGATTAGTGTGGACGGTAGGCCTAACCGTAGAAATAAAGCTGCGTTTTCAAATTTCTCCGGCGTAGTGTGGACACTGACTAACTGTAAAATGTTCGTACGAAAATGTTGCATTTTATATTGGCAAATGAAACCTCACTCTAGAAAGTCCACAAGAAAGTGGTTTGGTATACAAAATAAAGAATGTTATGAACCAAAACTCGCCCAGAATGATTCTACTTACCTGTCTTGAGCTTGTAGATCGCTCGATGGATTCCAGCTCGGGTCAAATATTATCACAACATTGGCCCCAGTGAAGTTCAGTCCCAGGCTTCCCGCCTTAGTGGAGATCAAACACAAGGAGATACTGGGGTCGATATTAAACTCATGCACTAAACGTGTTCTGTCCGCAGGCTTCGTGCCTCCATCCAAATGACTGTACACCAGTCCTCTGCTGATCACGAACTCTTCTAAGATATTGAGAAGCTGGAAATAGGAAGAAAAATGAGTCATTCTAGTTTAAGGGACCAAGGGCAGGTGGATATCTGTCGCTAGATGTCGTTACCATGATCCTCTCTCGAGGGAGGACCCCATATGAAAAGGTCGGGGATGATCGTCAGAAGGTTTTAATAAAAGCCCTAAAGGAGGCCAATCTAGGCGTGGCTCGAGCCTTATTTTAACCCCTAAAAGATACCACTTAAAACGAACTGGAACAGGCTTGATTACCAGCCCCCGTTCAGAAAAGGAGCCCGCGCTAGTAGACCGAACTGTAGAGAGACCGGCTAAAATCGAGCCTAAAAAAGGAAATAAGAGCATTCTTTTATTATAATCTCTTCGAGTGCACCCTAAGTGAGACCAGAATCCTTGATATATATCCCTAAGCGAGACGACGAGTTTATCCCGGTTTCCAAAGCATTAAGCGACTAAGAGTATCGTTAGTCTGCCTGGATAGGATGCTAGTCCATCACAGGTTTTTTTTTTCAGGAAGAGTGGCTGACGGATAAATCTTATACTACCGAGAACAAATTCAACTAAGGTTTCTGAGGACGAAGGGCTACAAATCCGGGACCTCCACTTTATAAGAACTTCCCATTACTTCCCAGACTACTTAAAGGAGCTACGTCAAGGTTTGCGCATGTTGATGGCCTGAAAAGTTTAGCCTAAATTTTTCAAGTTCATCGTTTGTAATCCGTGTTTATCTTCTCCATCCTTAACTATTCGTGTTCCTTTATGAATTATTATCATCTCTTTGTTGTTTTTCTATCTTAGTAAACTATTATTTCCAGGTTTCCTTCAATTTAAAGGTTATTTTGTACGTGGCCAAAATAACTCAAAATAGCGTGACTGAGCTCCTTTAAACACGCTTTCTTGCGAGATATAAGCCCACAAGCATTGCTTTCAATTTCACAAAAATCCTACAAAGTGATTGTACGAGGTGAATTGCATCGAACGAACCTGTGTTGATCGTGAAAAGACAAGTAATTTGCTGTGTTCCTCTTTAAAGACTCTCAACAGCTTTTCCATCACTTTCATCTTACCGCAGTACTTCGGGTCAGAGAGCAGTTCAAACGACGACATTTCTGCACCGCCTGAAAACTCGGGGTACCTGGCAAACACTCGCAAACAAAGTTCCTTGGCCTGGGGACGAAAATAAAAGGTAAATTGCGCCACAAATTCAAACACAAAATGTGATTTTGTTGGATTATGCAACCAAAAATGTCTTGCCTTATAGGGGGTCATGTGATTTTCAACCTTCATTGAGGGGTGGGTCACTCAGTTTTGTACCAAATGGAAGGTGTGGGTCACGTGCTTTCTATCTACCACATTTCAAAATGCTCCAGCTCACCGCCCCCCGCCCTTATACTTTTTGACCAGTCCCTAATGTAACATACCTTTGGAAGACTGATATGACTTACCTTTTCTTGTTGATCGGCTGATTGTTTCACGGTAGGTGCCAATAACGCGGCGTGATTGGCTACTTTCAACAACAGCTGAAAGAACCTCATGGTTACAGTCTTGATGGGCTCACCTTCTGAGCTAAGCTGTTTACACAACAACAAACAGAAATGTAAAGGAATGACGCTGAATCTTCAACTAAAGATGGAAGGAGGCACGGCGCCTAATAGCTAGCGGGCTCACTGGACTCCAAATCGAGAAGCATGGAATGGAGTCCTGTTAAGGTTTTCTTGGGCAAGACTCTCTACCCTCACAATACCTCGGTCTCTTTTACCCTGGTCCCAGATAATTTCCTTCTTCTTTCTACAACTGAAGCAAAAAGGCCATCACGGCGGCCAAAATAAGCAAGCGAAAAAACCCTCGGTACATATTTTCATTTATGCATTATCTCTAAGGATGAGACTCCTACTGTTCGAAAGCCTCTGTGGAGGAGGGGAATTAAGAGTGACGAACGGTTATTCAAAACACATGGATCTCGCAAACTTTTCGTCGAATTTCATGGGTTTTGCAGTCTAGTTTTTTCGCGTTTATGTGTTTCTCGCAGTCTCGATTTTTTCACAAAACTGTCACCGAGTCTCGATTTTTTACAACGCTAAGAAAGTCTCAAGGCGCTGATTTGTTTGTTTGTGTCTATGAGTGACGTCTGAACGTCTTAAAGTCTGAACGTCTCTCGCTCGTATAAAACAATTTGAAGTCTCCGTCTCGTCTCGCAATCTCCCGGGCTCGCAAAGAAAAACGCTAGTCTCGCCTTCTCGCATTCACCATTCACTACCCCTCGAATTTGTCTGTCAGAAAACAGAAGAAACTAGGGCCTTGATAGGAAGTTCACCTCACGCCGCCATTTGACAAATTAGCACACTCATGGCCCCCTATCTACTAATCAGAGTCCGTGGGTCAGATCGTAACCATCACATGGTGCGTTTTCGTCCAATCGACGAGCGAGTTTCAATGAATGAATCCAACCCTACCGTGTAACAACACTTGCCCCTGTCCTCCCCGCTGCCGCAGTCACAAGGGAAGTTCTTCTTTCGGATCATTTCCACATCCGGGTTCTGTAGAAGAGTCTGGTACACATCTTCCTGGAATGCCGTCAGTGGACAGAACACCACCAGCTCATCTGGAAAAAGCAGTTAAACAGCTAAAATGCACAACAAGACAAACCACAATGGAGACGCCAGGTACGCAAAGGCAAACAAGACAAAGAGAGGCTTCTTTCAGCGCCGAAAACCGCACTGTGCAGCTTTCAGTGCATCCCTGACCGTACTCGCGGGGCCACTTGCGGGCTCAGGTAATCAGCTCAGATAATATTGCAGGCTGCAATGGTGGAAAGAACGGCGGACTGTAATAAGGTAGGCGAGGATGTCGCTCGGTTGATTTATTTAAATACTTGGGCAAGCATGAATTTTTTTTGGCATTTCACAAGCCCCCACCCCCCGCCTGCTGAGAGGCTCTCTTGCTTATATATTCAGTGGTATGCTTATATGGATGCAACATTGAAAGAGTGTTTGTGGAAAAATGTGTCTTCGCACCGAAATTTCTTGTATACTGCCGAAAGTAAAGGGTTCGGAAACCGTCTCTAGGATAATTTTGTCCAAAAAAATTGATTCCCCACAAAAACAATACACCAGCTTTCCATTAGTGACGAGAAAATGTTGCTCCCTAACGGGAAAAATGGGAAAGTATGTATAGTTCGTAACTTTATTGGGGACTACAGAGATATGTGGCTAAAAAAAACAAAACAAAAAAACAAGGCTTGCGGAAGTGGACGCAGAAGAAATAAGACATTTTGAAACACATTGTCTGGGATAGACTACACAATTTAAATCCAAATATTGTAAAGATCTTCCAAGCTCCCAAGAGATGTATTTCTTTTTAAGAGTTAGGTCTGAAGCCTTTTCAGGTTATAGGCGCACTTTGACTAAGGAGGTGATAATGGAAAAAAAAGAACCGGTAAGTCAAAACAGACCGGTCTTGTAAGTCAAACAAGACCATCTAACATCAGGTTTGATACAGCAAGTGAAATTAAGAAAAAAAAAACACTAAGACTTTTGTGAAAACTAGTCTTACCTTTCTTCGGCATCTGATCAGCAATCAGGTCCTTGGTCCTTCGTAAAAAACATCTTCCAATCATATCTTGAAGATCTTTGGATTCTGAAAGCAAGAAATTTACCATGTCTCAGAAACGTTCCGGAAATCTTTTGGGAAGATTCGCAGCACCACCAAAACTCTCCCTCTTTCCCCATTTCAGTCCCAGAACACCGCTCAGTTTCGTTACCATTTTCATCACAGAGAGTTTTTCGCGCAGTTTTTGGTGGTAACGTAAATAATAAAGGGCCACGCCTTTAAACTGGTCGGCTGATTGCGCAAAATCTCTGCAAAATCTTTCAAAGCTTGTTGTTGTTGTTGTTGTTGTCGTTGCAGTTGTTGTTGTTGGCAAACGGTATACAACCCAAGGCTGTAAGGGAAACTCTTTCAACCAAGGAAACAAGACAAGGAACTCTGGCCAGACCACCTGAGCCGGGGTGAAACACTCGGATAGCCCAATTCACCTTTTGGGGCCGCTTAAAATACTGGCTCCCTTGCCACCATTCCCCGGGTCAATACGTCCCCTACAGTATCTAAATTTGTTTAACTGCAGGTCAGACTATAATTCACTTACTTTTCCTGCCCACAGCCAGCTCTCTCTTAGTCGCGTTATAAGGCTGCCCTTTCCTGATTGGTTTACCAAACTCCCTGTTGAACGTTTTAGACGGTCCCAGACTCCCTGGGTTTGCCCAGTCCAAAACACACCAGAACTCTTCCAATTTGTTCTGAAGTGGGGTCCCTGTAAGGCCATATCTAAAACAGAATTAACAGGACTTAGTTTAGGACAAGAGCAAGAATTGCTTAGGCAACATCAACACTATACCTGAGAAATTTTAAAACGCAGCTTTATTTCTACGGTTAAGCTTACTGTCCACACTAAACCGTGAAGAAAACAGAGCTTTTCGAAAAGGCTCTCCAAACCGGGGGAATTTGAAAACGACGGCTTTTTCATTTTCGTGTGGACAAAACACGTTTTGAAAACGGAGCTTTTCGAAAACGATGACGTCGCGATAATCACGTGATTTCCCTGCTCGAGTTTTCCTCAAACAAAAATTCAAAATAACCGGTGATTGTTGCGTTTTTAAATTCCTCCGGCGCAGTGTGGACGGAAAACATTTGATGCGTTTTCAGAGTGAAAACTCCGTTTTCAAATTCCTCCGACTTAGTGTGGACGGGACCTTGTTTGTAGATTGCCAATCGCAGTATACGATACATTGTCCACGGAATGAAGCCTGAGAAACAGCGTCATTTCCACAAAGAAAATGATTGCTGTTACAAAGCTAGGAATGTGCACATGGAATCGACAAGAGCAAAAGCGTGACTTAGCGTGAAAAATCACCTAAAATAGCGTTAGCAAGCGTGACAAAGATGCGTGACATAACCACTATAAAGGTAATCCGTGCTCACCGTCTCTTTACATCAAGAGCTTTAGCAGCAACAGTTACTTGAGCTTTAGGATCTTTAAGGCGATGAACTTCATCCATGATCACAGCCAGCCATTTGATTTGGTTTAAATCATTCTGAAGGAAACCAAAAAGAGTTTCAAGAACACTGTGGCTAAGTATCGTATATCGTCATAAGTATTGTCATCATAAGCGCTATGCAAGTTTTCAGGACTAGCCAATCAAGCAACTTGTACAGGGGCAGTTTAAGTTTACATTGGAAAAGTTCAACATTTGGTCTCCAAGCAAACCACTTGACCATTAAACATTCTCACGTTATCCGAGCGTGTCATTCTTTCCCATTTTAACCCCAATCCTAGGCCCCGTCCACATTACGCCGGAGGAATTTAAAAACGCACCAATCAACGGTCATTTTGGATTTGTGTTTGAGGAAACCTCGGGCAGGGAAATCACGTGATTATCGTGACGTCATCGTTTTTGTAAAGCTCCGTTTTCAAAACGTTTTTTTTCCACGCGAAAACGAAGAGCCGGTGTTTTCAAATTCCTCCGATTTGAAGAGCGTTTTTGAAAAGCTCCGTTTTCGAGACGGATTAGTGTGGACGGTAGGCCTAACCGTAGAAATAAAGCTGCGTTTTCAAATTTATCTGGCGTAGTGTGCCGGGACGCTGCTCTAAGTCTCTTGTTGGCTTATTATAATCTTTTTCAATTGGTGTTTTCATGGCTTCACCCTCTTACATCGCAATAACTGGCTTCATGTATCGGGCCAAGAATACTTCAAAGGAATCAGACAGCGAACCTACCAAATGATTTCTCATCGTCTCGTAAGTGGTCAAAGCAACATCCAGCCGCCCTCTCGAGGCCCGTTCCAGAGTGGCCTCCCTGGCGTTGCCATGAAAGAGCCCCGTCTTAAAATGTCCCCACGTCTCAAGCTCTTCCCTCCAGTTGTACATCACCGAACCTGGACTTACAATCAAGAAGGCACCTTTATCATGGCTAGCCTTTCCTTGCTTGGAAAAGAGATAAAAAAAAATGTTGGGGCGTCAGAGAATAGAGAGCTCTTATACTGTAGATGTACGAGTAGTTAATTATTTGAAGATGATCTCCATAAGCTTTTTGGATAAATTTCGGACAACGTACCACATACCGTGAATCACCTGTAGCAAAATGGTCAAAAACACATCAAAACTTTTGAGCAGCAATATCGCTTCTTATTATATGGCTTGCTCCGTGAGGGGGGCAAGATGAACCGAATCCTGTGCTGTGATTGGCTACCCGAGCGGGCAAGACGGTGCTCTCTTTCCCGCTCGCGATTGCCCGTTATGTCCCGCAAGAAAATAGAGTTCCTCCTCCATATAATAAATCCTTTATTGACCAAGCTTGTTCGGTCAAGATGGCTGGATGTTGGCCTCGCTATTTTTTTGCCTATTTATGGACGTCGACTCCGTCTCGGTTCATAAGCGAGCAAAAAAAATGAACTTGGCCAATAATTAGCCATCTTGACCTCATGCTTGGTCAACAAGCCATATGTCTTGTCGTTTCAAGAATAAGAGGGACTGTGTGCAATAATTCTATCGATGCAAAACTTGTTAAATATAAAAGTCCATCCTCATTTTGTAGTGAAGTTAACTGTGGACACTCTTTTTAAGTCCTAAATCAGGATTGATCATCACTCAAAAAAACCAGGACGTGACTTATCCTCTAATTAAAATAAAACATATGTAGCTTACTTGCTTTCCTGTCGCCTTGCCATCCATAAATTTGCAAAATAAGTCTCCCTTCGTTCCAGTCTTCCCCAAAATGGCAGCAATAAAAGAAATTACCTAAAAGAAGCAGAATTTATTTTATCTAGTTCGGTACAAAAATGTTCACTTGGCCTGTCACTCTGAAAGAAAAAGGAGAGAAAATGCTGCACGAGGAAAGATCTTGAAGGCGAAGAATAACTGGAAAGGAGGAAAGGTTCAGGTCCAGGGTACCATCTGAAACTTGAAAACGCAGCTTTATTTCTACGGTTAGGCCTACCGTCCACACTAATCCGTCACGAAAACGCTCTTCAAACCGAAGGAATTTGAAAACACCTGCTTTGCGTTTTAGTGTAGACGGAAATATTTTGAAAACGGAGCTTTTCGAAAACGATGGCGTCACGATAATCATGTGATTTCCCTGACCGATTTTCCTCAAACACAAATCCAAAATGACCAGTGATTGTTGCGTTTTTAAATTCCTTCGGCGTAGTCTGGACGGAAAACATTTAATGCGTTTTCAGAGTGAAAAGGCCGTTTCCAAATTTTTCCGGCCGGCGTAGTGTGGACGCGGCCTGGGACTGACCCCTCAATTACTGGGATTAAACAAGACACCAGTTGGGAAACAATTAATTGGGTCAGGGGCAGGATAATGGGGAAGAAAGGTAGGAGAAGACCATTAGGAGGGACAGGGTATTGACTGAGAACCGCGGTACTATGTTGTGCGAGCCTTGTGCACAGAATACAGTGGCCATTTGAAAGGAAATAAAAAGCTACAGCTTGCAAGACTAGTATAGTTTTCTTCACACATGTTCGGCCGGAGACTGAGAGCCACACCTCATCAGTGTTTTCTAGTGCAAATGCAAAACAGTTAAAGCCTTTCCTTTCTTGAAGGTTGCGGAGCGACCATTCAAATGAAAGCTATTGAGCAGTAATTTCATGTGGTACTGTTCATTATGCTGTACAAGGTGGTTCTAACTTTTAAGTCTGTGGATGAAACCCTAGTGTGTGACCATCAAATGAAAGCTATTGAGCAGTACTTTCACGTGGTGCTGCTTATTATGCTGTGCAAGGTGGTGTTAACTTCTAAGTCTGTGGATGAAACCCTAGTGTGTGACCATTCAAATGAAAGCTACTGAGTAGTAATTTCATGTGGTACTGTTTATTATGCTGTACAAGGTGGTTCTAACTTTTAAGTCTGTGAATAAAACCCTAGTGTGTGACCATTCAAATGAAAGCTATTGAGCAGTATTTTCATGTGGTGCTTCTTATTATGCTGTACAAGGTGGTTCTAACTTTTAAGTCTGTGGATAAAACCCTAGTGTGTGGTGTGTGACCATTCAAATGAAAGCTATTGAGCAGTTCTGTCATGTGGTACTGTTTATGCATCTCTTCCCAATATCTTGGCAAAACTTGGCAGCCTCAGAAAATGAAAGACTAATATTGATACATTATGCGAAATACCTCACCTGAACTGTCTTACCCAGGCCCATATCATCTCCCAGGATTGCACCTGTGTTTTCAAAATAGTGTTGGTACAAGAAGCGTACGCCATCTCGCTGGTAGTCCCGTAGATAACGGTTGATGGTGGCTGGAACCTAAAAGTAAAATTCCGGAAATAAATAAGCCTTTTCAAGGGCGTATTTTCGTTCAAAAGACTTTTTTGGTGGCTTTCTATAGAGCGCAGCTGAAAACTATGTTAATGAATTTGTATTTTATAATGGTTGGGTTTGAAATTGGAAACGATTTTACATCTGACATTGTAGAGTATGAGTGGCTCTTTACAAGAGTAGCGTGTTGGAAAGTTCTTAAAAACAAACGATATGAAACATTGAAGTCTAAATAAAAGAAGCTATACAAATGAACATCCAAGCTGAAAGACTGGACATTCTGTAATGACATAAGACAGGCTGAAAGCATAAGTAAAGAGTTGAAAATCAAAGGAAGTTACAGCATCTTGCTAACAAAAAGAGTAAAGTCCGCATACGAGCCAAGTGGCCCATCAGGCCAGAGTTTATCCCGGTTTCTGTAGCATGAAGCAGCTAGGAATATTTCAACTCCCCTCTGGATGGGACGCTAGCCCATCGCAGGGTTACCCCCAGCATTAAATTCGGCGATACCCATCTGTACTCGCTGGGTGGAGAGAGACACTGTGAGAGTTAAATGTCTTGACCAAGAACACAACTCAGTTTCCCCAGGCCGGGCTTGAACCTGGACCACTCGATGCGGAGGTGAGCGCACTAACCATGTGGCCAGTGTGGTTCCACGTATCTTGCTAGTAAATTTGGAGAGAGATGCTATCCTCAGAGGATTCTAAACATTAGAAACTTGAAATTGTATTTGCGTAGCACGGGTTTGGAGAAAGAAGGGGAAGACTAGGTGAATTTTCAGAATTTTACATTGCAACAAAAGCTGGTTGAATCCATTTAGCTGAAAATGTTTAGCCGACGAGTTATGACTGACGAGCTGTTGACATACAGTGTACACGCTTAGTTATACTGCTGACCTGGATAACTGGCTCAACTCCAGGTTTGGACAGGAGCAAAGGTACTGAAGGATGTATGGCAGGCTGTGTAAAGGATGGCCTTTCCATATCTTGGTCATCAAAACCTGCAACGAAAATTTTAAGAATGCCAACCAAACTGGAGGTGAGATCATTGACAATCACATTAACTGTCACTACAGAGTGAGCATAGAAAATAAAATGTGTTTATGCTGTACTTACAGTAGATACAGAGTACACTTTCAACTTCAACATGTGGGGTATTATAATAATAAGTGACAGCGTTTGTACTGAGCGAAGTACAATTCAGAAGGAATCATGCCAGTAATTTCAACATCGGACGAGAGTACAACACGAGGCCAATTTAAAATTACGAGCATCATTACTCTCTGAATTGTACAACACGAGATCCAGTTACACACATCTGTGGGAAACAGTAAGACGGAAGCCATTAAAACGCCGGCAATTGACGTGGGAATGGTGTAGTTATCCAATTATAGGTATCCAATAACAAAAAATGTAATATAGATACCTGCAATTAGACACCCATGTGATCACACGCAGATTACATGACAAATAGGCGAGCAGAGAACCAATCGCGATCGACAATTTTGTTATTATTACGATTATACATGTAGTTAGTAATAGTATAATAAGTCAGTGATGCTAATATGCAAGTGATGTGAGCGAGACAAATAAAAAATAAAAGAAATCCTTGACTATAAGGGAATCAGTCGTTACTGGTTGTGACTGTAGCCAGCTCAGTCCGTGCGCGGTTACGTTTCGCGCCATTTTCGGTCACGTGACCAGTGTGTTTTTACCAGCGTGGTCGTAAGATTTTGACTCAGGTTTCCGTGGATTTACGCTCGTTTTAGCGTGCCTTTTTTTTGTCCCTTTCGCAGTCCTAAGGCTGGACAAGGTAACAAAGTGTATATTTTTATGTCCTAAGCTTAGTAAGTTACTGTACTAAAGTTTATTTCGAATTTTACGTTCATGTGTTTTATGTAGCGTCGTTCGACAAACATTCGCATCAAGTCATTAGTGTAATTTTTGCATTTATTTCAGTTTTACGGCTTCCGTTTGAGGTTAGTAAAGTCTACCAGCCATAATTACAGTGGTTCGTTTAATCTATGTAGTTACACTGGTGTCAAGTTAATTTTACTTAATCCTAAAAAGCGAGGCAGACTGAGTATCGGTTAGACTGCGAGGCTGTCAGGCTCATAATGTTGTTTTGCATTCTTCCCTATGTTCTTTCCCACCGGGGGGGGGGGG